TTTGCTGGGTTGCTAGCAACCAAAGGAACAATACAGACTAGATTTTCCAACTCCTCGCTCAAACATGCATGATGTAAACATTTAAAGTTAGCAGGAATGTGCGTTTGCGTCAGTTTGACTGGACGGCGTTGCAGACTGCCGGATGACGGCGTCTGAAGTTGAGGCTGCTGTAACCGAGTTTCGCCACGCAGGATTCACGTCTGTTTTGTTGACTTGTGCTCCAGTTTAATTGCACAGTGTGTGTTTACAGTTTTTCCAGATATTCACTCTGCGAGGTGGAGGCAAACTCCAGATAGTCCTAACATGAGTGAGCTTTTCGCATTTCCAGCTGCGTTGGATGCTGGCCTGGTGGAGAGCTTAGAACAGCAGCAGACGGAAGTTCAGCAGTTTAAACAGCACACCGAGAAAAATATGTGTAATCACCAGGAGGGAGGCTGGCCCTGCTCTCTGTGTGAACATGCAAAGGTTACAAGACATTTTGACTCTATATATAAGGTGACTGAACCCCCCCACCCCACCCTACACCAGCCCACCTCCTCCTCCTCTTCCTCCTCCATGCTTGTTGTCGAACAGCCTTCAGAGCTGAGCAGATGTTTGTCGGACAGCAGAGGTCGTTTCAGAGAAGCTTTAACTCCAGAAATGCTCCTTTCATGACTGCAGCGGCTCTCCGCGGGAATCCACCATCCGCCCACACAGCTCTTTGAAGTGCAAACAGAGGCTTTCGCAGCACTTTTCACCTCCACCTCTGGACGCTGCAGAGAGGATTGTGTGGAAGCGTGTGTGTTTGTGCACGTGCATGTGTAGAAAGTTAAAGTCTTATGTATGCGTGCTTTAAAATAACAGTTTAACATTAAAGTTAATGTTTTGTCTCCGAGTTTTTTCTCCAGTTATTGATGTGTTTTAATAAGAGTGAACTGCTGCCCATAGAGTCGAATATCTCCTTTAAAGAAGAAGGAAGGGCGCGTTCAATTTTCTTTCACTCGAGTGAACTTTCATCACATTTTCAGGCTTGTAGGAGGCAGGTTTGTAAAATATTACACATTTCATGCTACTCACCAAAGCATAAGATCTCCTGTAATCTCATATAAATGGCCCAAAATGTGTTTAACTTTTACACTGACAGGGATTTCAAACTTTCTTCATCCAAAGTGAAAGCAGAGTTGCAAGTTAGCCCAAGGTTCCTGATAGATTATTTAACAAATGTCGAAAGAGGACCAAGAGCTTTCATCATCGTAGATACAAATCTGCCAGGAGCACACACAAGGACTTCAGTTTCAGTAAATGTATAACTGAAGGCCATCTGCATAGCAGCAATAGCAAATGTCTTCAACGGGGCTCAAAATATGCTGAAGAGGAAGTAGATATATTAGAAACAGTAAGGGGCCCAATAAAGAACCCGGTGACACACCATGGGAAAGGGAAGTGGCAGATGACCTGTACTTGGAAACCGCCACAGAAACGCATCATTCAGACAAACATGAGAACCACTCCAAGGCAGATCCAGATACACCGACCCAATATTTGTTGGGTTTTTCTCTGTGTGTAGTATTGTGGGGTCTACCTTACAACACAAAGCACCTTGAGGTGACTGTTGCTATATAAATAAAACTGAATTGAATTGAATAATTAACATCATAACAAATGCAGCAGCATTATGCAAGGAGACGTGTTGCAGACAGGTTGCACTCATCAGCACACACTGGCTCAGGCTGACTGCAGTTATTCTCTCCCTCTGTGAGTGACTCAGTGACCACCAGGTGACCTCTGCGATAACCCTGCTACTGAAAGCTGATCCTAAGTTACCATCTCCAGATTCAGCCACAGTCTTCCTCCAAAACCTCTCTTTAAAAATGACCCATCTTCAGATGCTGCTCCTGTCTGTTTCTGTCCTGTTGGTGCTGACATGAACTTTAATTTTACCCAGAAGTTGTTTCAGAGAGCAGCAGAAAGAGCCAATCAGGAGTCTCATCTGTTCACCGCAGCCGCTCGTCAAAAACTAAACCGGTTCTGACTCGAAGCACAAAAACATCCCAGAGCAGCCCGACAATCAGCAGCCATCTTGGAGGTAATGAGAAAACTGTGACTGTTTTAATGTTTCATTGACCTCACCGGCTCGCTGATTACACTTGTCAATATTGTGCTGCACGCCGCCGCCGCCTCCTGAGCAGGAAGAAGATGAGACAGCGGTGAACAGGCCACTTATGGTCTCAGCGCCTCAGCAGAATCGCAGATGAGTGGACTGACTCCATACGATGCAGGATGTGTTCATTTCTCAGTCACACAGCAGCTAATATATTAAAGTAGGATTTGTTTCTGATAGCACAAAATAATCACCACGTACTTTTCAAAGGGGGGTGACGATAAGTGTTTTCCCAGCTGCTTCCTGGCTTTTTAAAATCGGCTGTTTTCAGCGGCTCAGTGGCAGCAAACTGGCCTGGTGTGTTAGAAATGTTATAATTAACAAGCATTCATGGCTGAAATGTTTAATGGCACAAACAGTTTGCAATCAATATATTTAATCAACACTTACGTTTCCACAGACACATTTTGGTAAGATTGTGCCCGGTGGTGTTATATCGAGTGGAAAATGTGGGCACATTTAAGAGTCCACACATACAAACTCACAGCCTTACATTGATTCCTGCATACACACACACACACACACACACACACACACACACACACACACACACACACACACACACACACACACACACACACACACATATCAGCGTCTCTGGATTTAAAATCAAAGCGGGAACATCAGGAGACCCTGATCAGTCGATCTGGGTCAGTTAATAACTTCCTGATTTTTTTCAAAGGTGCACATAACAGTGGCTTTGGTATCACCACCTCTATTGGTTTTGATGTGTTTCACTACAACTTGTTCATGAACAAACAGATTAATTCACAGGATGTGAGAGACGGGAATGTCGGCAGGTATGCAAAGATTGACCTTCCCGCAGGGACTCACCTGTCAGCAGATCAGGTGTGTGTGGCTTTAACATTTTAAACTCGGGTCTAAAAGGTTTACATTGAAAAAAGCAATAGATGGATGTTTATTTTACTCCCTGTCTGACATCCCATTGGTTTAAAAATTAGACAGAGCTCTCTGTGTGTGAAGCCCCGCCCCCTTCACACACATGTAAACAGGCTGAGTGAAACATCTTCCTGGTTAAATAACCGTCTGTGTTTCTGTGCTGACAGCGAAACGTTGCTGACTAACGGATAAATCTGTTGATGTTTGCTCGGTGATCACAACACGCCCCCCCCAGCTTTATTTATAAGCTGACCCACCTCTGTCACTCTGTCCAGATGTGACACGCAGGCATCTCCTGCATTAGAGTAATTACGCACACACAGAAAAAATGTGTTTTCGTGTATTTTGCGTCAGGCGGAGGGAGAGTGCTGCCGGCTGCAGTTGACTTTAACAGACGCTCTGCGTGCCATCTGTGGGGCCAAAGCTCTTAATCACCCTTAAGTCTATTGGACAGTGCAGCAAATGTCCTTAAGAGCTTAAAAAGCACAACCGGCACACTTTCACACACATTTACACATCAGCTCTGAAGGGTTGTGCGTTCTTTTTTTTTTAGCAGAGTTCAGATAATTACCATCTGCAGATCATTATTTATTCTCTTATCTTGCTAACATGTGACAAATTAAAGGAAAAACTGAAACATAGACCCCTCCCACCAAATGCCAGACGTCCAATGGCTTTGTTTTCTGGGATGAATCTGGTCAGCTATAGTCTCTGCTGTTAGAAAGGCGTTCTTTTACACACTTATAGAGGTGAAAGTGAAAGATTTTCAGCTTAATATGGGACTGGAATTATTAGCGAATCTGCCTCAGCTGTTACAGCCACCACTTTTATTATCATAAACTATATGATGCAGTCTGCTTAGTGTCTTCATCATCATCAATTAGCTGAGCTGCATCATAGAGATTACGTTTTAAAAGAACTTCCAGCAGATGAGCTGATGACACTCACACAGCTGTCACTTCAAATCTATTTTTAATGAAAACATCAGGAAAAAAACGTTCATCATTGAAATATTAGCTGGGAACGTATAGTAGGAACAAGAGTGACACATCCAGACAGCATTCATAAGAGTAGATATGCACTGATAGCAAAACCATCAGAGCTGTAAAATGAAGCCAGCATGGACATGACAAACACTGCACTTCCTCTGATGTCCACTAGGGGCTGCCTCCAACCTAGTCCTCATGGATTCCCAACTTTACAGCAGAAATAAACATGTTTACAACCTGCTACAAAAGTAAACAAACAAAAACCACTTTAGGTCTCTACTGACAGTAATGGTAAGGCTTAAAGTTAGGGGCGTGGCCACTTTGATTGACAGGTTAGAAACAGAAAGCTGTTGCTTCTACCTGTGTGCTGGGCTTCACCTGCACAGGACATTTCAACCATGTCTGTGTGCTGCAGTCTGTGCTTCAAATTTGATGAGAGCCATTCTAGTATAATAGTCTGTTACTTAGCAGTAAGTGGATAACCTAGCAGTGTGAGTGTGTGCAGACCTGTATGGTTTATAATTTAGCTGATAAACACTCGGCCCATTTATCTAAATAGGGTCAAACACTTATATCTCCATAAAGTATGACAGCAGCCAAAATGCTCATAGTGGTTTCCAAATGTGATGAGTAAAATAGTAAAATAACCACAAAATTAGTTTTTGTGACTATTTTACATCTTGACTCGGCTCTTTGTGTTAATTCACCTCTCTGCATTCAGTCATTAGTTATTCATCTCTGGCTCTCTTTCACAGTGTGTATTCTCCCCCACCTCCAACTGATCACAGCAGATGCCTGCCCTCCCTAAGCCTGGTTCTGCTGGAGGTTTCTTTGTGTTGAAAGGGAGTTTTTCTTTCCCACTGTCCCCATGTGCTTTCTCATAGTTTTTTTTTAAAAGGCTGAAATGTAAATAATCATGTAAATATTCAGTCAGTGTGTGTGTTCGTTTTGGACCCTCATACTTAAACCCAGCATGCGCTGAGGTGATGTATCTCATAATGAGCTCATGGTAACATGACTGAACTCCATCATGGCTAAAAACGCATCGCTGACCCTCTGCGGTGAGCTCCGGGGTCCCGTAGGCGGCTATAATTAGCACCGTCCCGGTGAGCAGGCAGCATATGTAGAGCGGGGGCGGTTTTTGGCTCCTACACACACACTTCCGTGTTTATCTGTCACCGTAAAGCAGGAAGCACTGTAGTAATGTGTAGGAGTTGACGAGCCCTCCTGCTGCTGGTTCCTCACAGGTATGTCCACCGGTTACCGTCTCAACTCTCTCCCCCTAACGTCCCCCTCCCGCCTGTCTCCGCTCCGTAAACCCTCCGCAGCCGTTTGGACCGCAGACATTAGCCTCTCCCGGGCTAATTCCGCCCGGACGGTCCGTGTTTACACCGCTGTTCCTGTTTAGCCCATTAACGAGCCTCCCGGCCTCTCTGTTGAAGGTGTCTTATGAAGCCACAGTCAGGTGATTTCTGCCGTTACAGGTAAAGAGAAAGCAGCCGGGGAAGGAGCTACATGGAGGCTAACTAACTGAGCCCGGATCCGTCGGTGCTCGGCAGACGATCACACACACACACACGGGGACTGCGGTACATCGGTACCGAAATGCCAGCCGGTAAGCTGCATGTCGGTGTGTGTCAATGAGTGTGTGTGTGTGTGCTGACATGTTTGACAGCTATCCCTACAGTCCGGTGTGTCAGTGTTGCGTTTAAGTGTTGGGCTAATTGTTACAACGGTAAATGGCTGTCTAAAAAAAGTGCGGTGGTGTGTTCATGGTCACTGTTTCACTGTGGGATTTTTAAGGTGTCACCTGTAGTCCCCGCAAATGACGGATCAATCGATTAATTGATGATCTTCATCCTTAAAATGCTTCTCAAAGTAGAGAATCTTTTTTTTTAGTCCAGATTGTTACACGTTTCACCTATAGAGTGTAACACATATCTTCAAATCAGTTTAGAAGCAAAATAATCTGTTTTGTTTTTTTTTTTAATTTGAGAAGCTGCAGATTGTTACTTTTGACATACAAAGGCCCTAATTCATTTAACTGTTTAAAAAAAAAAACCCAGTTATGATTTAAGTTTCAGTGAATATGGAGAATATTACGACAGTGCAGCTCTTTTGTCCATCCCTAAAAGGTCAAACTCACTTGCTGTTTAGTTCAGTTCCAGCCGAGATCTGCTCAGCTCAGCAAGATTGGTCTCGAGGAAGAAAAAAGTTTTGACAAGAGAATGTTTGGAAGTTACGACTCCAGAAAAACATTACTGACAACATCTAACAAGGAAGGGCCTGATATGTCATCACATGGTTCAGAGTGAATCATTGTCCTCGTCAGTAGGGAGTGTCCACTGGAAAACTTGGGTGGTAACTTGTACATCCATTGTCTGCTTTTGTCGAATAAACATAAAAATGCCTTTCAATACAGAAAAAACTTTTATGTGGTGCAAGAAAAGCAAGAAAAACACCAAAACAAGGTGCTCGGTGGAGGATAAGCCCCACAAATAAAATATCCAAGTCGTTTTTAAATCTAAAAATGGAGACTGCGTCCTTCTCTTTTCACCATCGCCTGTCGGTTGGGTGTAACTGCTTCTGTGCCGTGAAAGAAATAAGGATGAGATGTGGGCTAAATCTATCAAGCGTTGCCTCGAGCCGTGCAGTAACTGTGATAACGCTGATATAAACTCATAGCTGAGTATCATTTCTGATCTAAAGCTTTTCCTCTGAATGCTGTTGTGAGTCACTCCTGCTGCCAGTGCGTGTAAGGTGCGGTCAGACCTGTGAGGCCAGGTGGAGTTTAACCCTCTGATGTGATGAAAAGCAGCCGATGATGAGAGCAGGGCTGTAAACAGGAATAAATTGTAGGAGATGGCACGAGTTAGCTTCTCTGAGCTGTTCCTCCTGCTCTGCTGCAAACATTATTTGATCATCCAGGTGAATAAGCTGCACTTTATTTCTGAAGATCAGACTTGTTTGTAGCCTGAAGCCAGCCTGACTCTATCACTCCTAAGCTGGCTGAACACTGGTCAAACTTCATTGTCAGTGTCTGTAAGTTCAGACCACCATGACTGAAGACTTTATTACACGAATGTATTTCCTCCTGTATGTAAATCACTGCTCTCTGCAGCAGCTGTGTAACTACTGGTGCAGTTGTAATGTCAGCTTGGTTTCAACATAATCATTTATTAAGGAGGAATTGATCTTAATTTTCAATCGACAGACCTAAACATTCACCTACATACACACGCAGCTGAATCCCTGATGTCCACTTCATTAGATTCCTGGAATATTATGGGTTTTTGTGGAAGTGTGTTGCAGAGAGGAAGCATCAGTCAGGCAGTCTCAGAGGCAATTTGACGACTGGGTCCCTTTAACAGAAATGAATCCAGATGCTTTTTTCCTGTTGTTTCCCCCCTCACGGTATTTTCTGCATCCAGCCCACAAAGTTTGATTTGTGGAAATGACGCAGCTGCTGTCGGCATCACAAAGGATTTATTGTCATTGAACTTTTGTGGTGTATTCAAGTAAATAATAAAACATGTGTAAACATAAAAACAGCTCTCATATAGCACACTGGATGCGTGAGACGTCTTCCAGTGTAAGATACCGGTGCCAGATGAAACCCGTCCAAGTGCTGTTTGTTTGTTTGTTTGAGCATTTGGAAAGAAGCTGTGGTGCTTCTGGATTTCATGGATTGATGACGTCTACTAGAACGCAGCAGAAGTCACACGTGAACTTCTGATAGTTTCAGGGATTTCTTTTCCTCGTGCAGACGGTGACAGACAGGTCGGGGTGGTCTGTGGTGGTATAGAGAGGGCTGTTGATGAAGTGATTCCTGCCCTCACCTGTGGTCGCGAGCTGTGCATAGTGATAGAAAGAAAGAGCTCATGGATACGAGCTGCAGAAATGAGTTTCTCTGAAGGATGTCTGGGCTCTTCCTTAGAGACAGAGTGAGGAGCTCCATCACTTTAAAGGACTCAGAGTAGAGCTGCTGCTTCTCCACGTTGATAGGAGCTGGGTGAGGTGGTTCAGGATGTCGCCCGGGGCACCCACGACATGCTGGAGTGATTATGTCTCCCAGCTGGACTGGAAAAACCTCTGTGCCCCCCCAGAAGAGCTGGAGGAGTTGGCCAGAGAGAGCAGAGTCTGGGTCTCTCTGCTTGGACTGCTGCCCAGATGCAGAGAAGCAGCAGAAGATGGATTTAAGTTTTCTGCTGTGAAAACTTGTTTCTGAGTTTGAAAACCCGTCTCATTCATCACAGAGGAAGTCCTAAAGTTTGATTCTCAGGGATTTGACAGGATTTTTGTTTTCTGCCGGCTGTAGGTGGAGTGAGTCACACCTCTCGACATTGGAGTTTATCATCTTAAAATTCAGCATTTTTGTTTTGCTTTTTTCTTCTTTCGCTCTCTGTAACTCTCATCTTTTATCTGCTACATTAAAGATGAAGTCAAATAAAATAAATCAGTCTTTTTATTAAAAACACATCGAGGTTTCTGTGATCTGCTGCAGTGGTTTTTTTCTTGTCCTTCTTACTCTCTGTCCTCACTTTAACCCCTTTAATCTTGAATCAGCGATACGTGATTTCAGACTCTGTGTGTGTGTGTGTGTGCGGAGTCTTGACTGTTTCTATTTTGGGAAAGTTGGACTTTGGGCGCCCTCGCCTTTTCTCCTCCTCGAGCAGCAGCTCTGGCAGGTAACCAGCTGCTGTTTACTGCAGATCGTTTCTCTCCTAAAAACCCACTTGGCTGCTGAGACAAGTAGGATGAGAAACGAGTCTGCGGGCCAAGAAACAATCTCCCCCCAGACGGACTCATTATGCTTTGGAGCAGTAGCTGGTGCTGGTGGTGGAGGAGGAGGAGACGGAGGTGGTATTTCAGGCTGCTGATGTGTGTGGATGCTGGCGGTTTTGCTGCAGACAGCATCTGCAGCTTCAAGGACTCTGCATCCCTGCAGGCCTCGAGTCTGCTCTATAATTAGTCCTGGTGGTAAACTGCTGATTGCATTAGTGTTAATGTGACGCTTTCAACATCGATCCCCGATGGGCTGAAGGAGCCGCGCAGGGGTGCGTGTATACATGTATGCATGCATGCATGTATGTATGTATGCATGTGTTTCCTGGACCCAAACGTCCCTCCTTATGTTTGTTTAACTTAACATTAAAAGTTTTCCACTTTTAAAGGGTGAAAACATTGTTTGGACACACGCAGCACTTCAGAGCACTGAACTAATTATTATAATATTTTATTATTAATAATAATAATATTGTGATTTACACTTCCTTAATAAATGACTCCAGATTGAAGTAAAGGCCTACGCTGGGAATAAAAGTAGGGATTTACATTTACTTGGAAACTACTCGATAAAGATGAGACAAAACGAGACTAAACCTCTGAGGGTTAATCAGATCAGTTTGTGATAATAAAAATGAAAATGTTCTCAGTTTTTACAGAGCTCAGGTTTCTCGGTTGCTATGGTTACGCATCCCACTGAAGAGTCTCAGTCATGCGTGCTGTTGGTGTCGGCAACAAACAGCGCTTTGTGACTGTTTCACTTTATTTTAAAACGATTTAACGGCCAAGTTTAAAATAACTTTATTCTAAAACGAGCTCCCAGACAGATGGTGGGCGTCAGTGATTGGTCCTTAGTTTTTCACGCTCGCAGCTCATTCTCGCCTCTGTTTGGCTGCTAATTGGGCGAAGGAATGTGCTGCTCCCCTCCCCCGCTCGCTAAACAGTCGGTTCACAGGGAGATGCTAACAGGCTGCAGCTGCGGTGATGTCACTTTTTTCTTATTTTTCACATGAATTCTGGAGCAGACGTTACAAACTCGCTGTCGTCTCAACGACGATCCCTCCATGCTCATGTACATCCAACCAAAGTCTCGTCCAATCAGCATCGGTGTCACGTTTCCTTAATTCCATGTCAAACATGGCTCAAGTTTCAAGTTATGACATCAGTGTAGGTACAAGGCTTCAGATTGCTTTAAACACTCAGTATCGGAGCATTGCGAGGGAATGACGCTAATATGGTCATCTCATTCCCACGGTTTGCAAGGGACAGCCAATCAGAAGACAGCTAGCTTAAAGGAGGGTTGGCTTCAAGCCTACCCAGTCAAAGTTGAATCAGGCGTGTGCGTCTGAGCCACTGGGAGACAGGAAGTGGATAAAACTGTGTTGATTTGGCTCATTTTCAGTTCTGTTGGCATTTATAGTCGACACAGATTTTTCTGAGCGCTGCTCCATTTCCAGAGCTCTCACTCCTGGGTGTGTTGTGGTCTAGAGGCTCTTATTATCCTCAAAGTGTTAACCACCTCAATTAAGTCATTATGTAGGACAAACCCGCCGTCGCTGCTGTCGCCTCTCCCTGTGCTGCTGCTGCTCTTTAAGTCTGAACGAACAGTCAGATAAGCGCACGGGGAGATAAGTGGAGATAAATGGAAATATTCCTGATGGGAAACATTTTTTATTCTCCTGTTATTATGCAGAGACATTTACATTCAGGGTGATCTGAAGAGGACGCTTCAGTCTACCACTCAGATCCTGATGCCCGTCTTCTTGTAGCCACTAAACGATGCTTTAAACAGTTACGTGTGGCCTTTCGGCTCTGTGATGAAGCACCTCT